TTTTAAAAAATGCTAATCAATAAAATGGTATTAGGTACTATATATTATTTCTGTTGTATTTTTATTTTTCTGTATTATTTTATTTCTGTTTATTTCTATATTTATTATTATAGTTTGTTTAGAATAACACTTTAATTTTTATATTTTTTATATTTGATATCTTTGAAATAAAAATGTGAAATGGAAATCATAATGACTTATATTTTTTATCACCTTAATTTTATTTTTCAAGAAAAAATTTACCGGTAATTTACCGGTAAACTGGTATTTTAATTTTTATTTGTAAAAAAAATAGTCGGTAAATTTACAATCCCTAGTCACAAGTGCACAGCCAGTTCCAGTGTCTTTGAACCATTAGTGTAATTTCTATTTCACATGTCAGGTCATACAGAGTGAAATCCATACCAGAAGGCAGGATGAGGAAGCTTGTTGAAACAAGTTTTAGTTTTATAGGAGCAGGCAGGGCAGGGAAGTTCATGAAAGAGACAGTGATGTCATTTCTTTTGGCAACAAGACAGCAAGATCCAGCATAGCTCAAGCAAAGATGGATTAGCATTTTGCCCAAGACTTGCAAGGACATGGTTCAGGCTGTTCAATACGATTGAGTAAGGAGCAAAAGTGCCCTTCTTTGGATAGTTTGCAAATGTTGCTCTTCTGAGACTGTTGGCCGGTGTGCTGTCAGATGGTCAAAGTGTATGTATGTGATGATTGAGATAAAGATAGCATTGTAGATGGAATTGAGAATAATGTGATTGAAGCCCCAGTTGTTCTTGACCAATTTGAGAGTTAAAAATGAGACAAATTTTCTCAGTGACATACTAAATGTGTTTGCTCCAAGAAAGCTTATGATCAAGTATGACACAAAGAAACTTGAGGTACTTTACCATTTTGACTGTGCCCACCTTTCTTATGCAAGGTGGGCACAAAATATCTTAGAGATGTGGGTGTGAGGCCTATTAAATATGATTCCTTCAGTTTTATGAATATTAAATTAAAGTCTATGTTTGTGTGTCTCTAGTTAAATTAAAACTTGTTAGCTTTGCTCTAATCACCAACCCACAATACGATGTCAGTTGCTTACAATTCTAGATCTCTTCTGAGTTTCCTGGGATAACAAGGCATCATCTGCATTAGTAACAACACTTGCCTGATCACCAGGAATGTTCCTCAGAAAATAGTCAAAAAGAATGCCCCAAAACAGAGGACTATGTACAGAACACTAAGGGAAGCCACACTGGACACGCTGGACTGAGTATGTGAAAATAACATCTCCTGATCTCAGCAATGTCCTCATATTATTGTGGAAGTCAAATGATACACATTGGACAAATACCCATTATACCTGTTTAACTGCCATCAACTGCATTGATGGCATTTAACTGCATTCTCTAAATCCAATTTAATACTTAATGTATTTGTGATCTTAAAGTAAGTCATGAATTTTTGCATAAAGAGTCAAGAGTATGTTCACTGTGCTTGTTTGTCTTCAAAAGCCAAATTGTAAGGAGTGTCTCCAAGAACCAGTATAGTCTATTGTGAAATAGCTTATCAAGAACCTTGCCATAGCATAAACAAGTGTAGACAGACATCAGAAGATTTAGACAAATTTTCCAGTCTTCTGACAATATCAGCTGTTAGTCCATCTGGGTTAGGAGGCTTCCTGGTGTTGGATCTCTAAATGATGTCATTGGTTTCCTGGTAAGTGAACAACGGGGCCAGGGATTCTTCATTTCTAATCTGTCTCTGCTCATCCATATCTTCACATTTATCATCAGTGGGCAGAAGTGTTAGGGTATCCATTGTGGTGGCCAAGTCCTATCACCACAATGGATCCATTGCCATGGCAAATGTCCAATACAACACTAGAGAGACATTTGATTTTGTTTGTGTATAATTTGAAGATAAACCCCAGGGATCATTGTTGCTTTGGATGAAAAACCTATTCCAGGAAGTCAGTTTTGCCTCTTTAATGGCAGCCTTGTAGCACCATTGAAAGCTCAAATATTTGTTTTGTATAAAGGATAACAACGATTCCTACATCTTTTAACATATAAGCATTAAATTATATATGTATGTCACTAAATTGACAAGCGCTTTCGACGATACACACTTTCGTCTTCTTCAGGTCATTAGAAGATATAAGATCCTTTTTCAAATACAAACATTTGCAAGAACAAAAATCTTGTATATATCTGAGAAGCCCTCATCACCAACATATTAAAGCCCTGCAACACTCCCACACTTGATTTGCCCCCTTTGTGGATCAATTTGTACAGCTATATAAAACATCGCAATAAATCCATAATATAGAGGTGCCTAACGCATGCGCATTATAAACGCGCGTGTTTTTGTTTAAATATCTTCTTATGTTCTACCGTTACTGTTATTCCAAAATGTTAATTATGATTGGAATCTTTTAAAAATTTTTGTATTCAAAAAAGAATCTTATATCTTCTAATGACCTGAAGAAGACGAAAGTGTGTATCGTCGAAAGCGCTTGTCAATTTAGTGACATACATATATAATTTAACGCTTATATGTTAAAAGTTTTTTGTAACAAATGATTAGCGTGCTGTCTATCACTTATTATAGATTCCTACATCTATACACCAACCAAAGTCGAATATTATCAGGCTAGAAACAGCTATAACATTAATAATTTATAAGACAAATTGGCACTAGAGTTAGGTGCCATTTCTTGATAAATTTAATAATTATAATTTAATTAAATAAACAGCCTGATAATATTCAGCTTTGATTGGTGTATAGCTTTAAATGTATCAGGTTTAGTAATGATGTTTGATTCCTACATCTCTGGAATCTTCAGCACAAAGCATTATTAATACCATGTAGCTGCACCAATTCTTCTGTCCACCAAAGGACAGTCAAAGTTTACCATTCTTAAGGATCACCTTTTCACATGCTTGAGAAATCTTTTCTATGATAATGATGTTTTCAAAGCAATCTAAATCTTTAAGATATTGGAGCAGTTTCCACTTTTACTGGAAAATCAGAACTCTTGTTGCTTCCATAATATCTATTCCTTACTCAAATTCTCAGAATGTGTTATAACACATACAAGTGTAATTCCCTCTATATAATGAATAATGTACAAGATTTCCAAAAAAAAAAACTGACAGATTACAAAAAATACTATGTATTTAAGGAAAGGTCAACACATGGTTTTCAATAATTGTCAGCAAAACAAAGATTTTTCCTGCATTATAAAAATATAATCCTTTGCTGCATGTATAATTTTGAAATGAAGTTGCTCCTAATCAATGGATGGAAAATAAACCAATTCAGTTTCTACCAATCCCTCTTTGAACTTTTTCTTGTGGAGTTAACTGAAGGACCTGGTTTACACCTATTACATATAGTGAAACATTAAAAGACATAAGCACAGTTGGAACCATCACGGTACTTATGGGTTAAGAGGACGCCAGTCAGAAATAGCGTTTTTTCCGAATAATGCAATTTTTTATTTGTCAAATTTAATACAATTGTTAAATTAAACAATAAATTACGATTTATAAAGATATAACAAAATCTCACAAATTCTAATAATAAACCACTTGAATATGCAAATTGTTTTGTAGTGTATACAGCAAATATGGCAAATAGATGATATCTATAATCATCCTAATTGATTTTTTTTTTTCATTTTTACAACCTCATCAGTAAATTTTCTTTTTAGATTTAAATTTACTAGTCTATTGTTATTTTGATATTTTCATTCAAAATCGCGACTTTGATCGCTATTTCCGACTGGTGTCTTCTTAACCCATAAGTACCAAACTTTTTTTGATATTATATACATAGTTAATAATGATATCAATATATTATTTATTTTCTTATAAGCAATTAATACAGTATATGTACTGTATATGCATTATCATTATTGTAAAATAAATGGCAGCTAACAATAGTTGCATCATAACAGACAATAACAAAATTACTTTTATCATCTTAATTGATGAACGTATACCATTTATTTATTTAGCATAACGAAGCATAACTGTAACAAATAACGCAACATCCAAACAAAAAAAGCTTTCAGCTGTTTTATGACAACACAGAGAATATTTCAAATGCTCCATTTGTATCGAAAATAATTCAATTTTCGTGAAATATTTTTATTAATTAGCAAAATATTAAAGGAAAATTCACAAAGGCTTTTTTGTTTGATCATTATACAAAAGAGAAATTAGTAAATAGAAAAACCCACCTTTCAGGATATTTAGCTTTAGAATGCATGATATCGCCATTAGCGATACATTCGCGACAGTAGAAAATTTTTCTAGAACGAAGGCAAAGAGGACACTTTTCGTAAATGATGCTGGTTTTTCCATTGTTTGAACCAGTTAGTGAAGATAAATTAAAATCAATAGGAGCTGAGTTACTCTCTTCGCTACTCGAAGTAGCCATTGAATTTTTAAATAGCGCCACCTGCTCATTTCAAATATATATACAGTATTTTTTTTTTAAAGTAATTGTTTATTATAATACTGTATTTACTTGCTATTTAGGGAACATAAATAGAAATTAAATTAATTTTGATGTTAGAATTCTTTTAAAAGAATAGCCAAATTGTAAGGAGTGTCTCCAAGAACCAGTATAGTCTATTGTGAAATAGCTTATCAAGAACCTTGCCATAGCATAAACAAGTGTAGACAGACATCAGAAGATTTAGACAAATTTTCCAGTCTTCTGACAATATCAGCTGTTAGTCCATCTGGGTTAGGAGGCTTCCTGGTGTTGGATCTCTAAATGATGTCATTGGTTTCCTGGTAAGTGAACAACGGGGCCAGGGATTCTTCATTTCTAATCTGTCTCTGCTCATCCATATCTTCACATTTATCATCAGTGGGCAGAAGTGTTAGGGTATCCATTGTGGTGGCCAAGTCCTATCACCACAATGGATCCATTGCCATGGCAAATGTCCAATACAACACTAGAGAGACATTTGATTTTGTTTGTGTATAATTTGAAGATAAACCCCAGGGATCATTGTTGCTTTGGATGAAAAACCTATTCCAGGAAGTCAGTTTTGCCTCTTTAATGGCAGCCTTGTAGCACCATTGAAAGCTCAAATATTTGTTTTGTATAAAGGATAACAACGATTCCTACATCTTTTAACATATAAGCATTAAATTATATATGTATGTCACTAAATTGACAAGCGCTTTCGACGATACACACTTTCGTCTTCTTCAGGTCATTAGAAGATATAAGATCCTTTTTCAAATACAAACATTTGCAAGAACAAAAATCTTGTATATATCTGAGAAGCCCTCATCACCAACATATTAAAGCCCTGCAACACTCCCACACTTGATTTGCCCCCTTTGTGGATCAATTTGTACAGCTATATAAAACATCGCAATAAATCCATAATATAGAGGTGCCTAACGCATGCGCATTATAAACGCGCGTGTTTTTGTTTAAATATCTTCTTATGTTCTACCGTTACTGTTATTCCAAAATGTTAATTATGATTGGAATCTTTTAAAAATTTTTGTATTCAAAAAAGAATCTTATATCTTCTAATGACCTGAAGAAGACGAAAGTGTGTATCGTCGAAAGCGCTTGTCAATTTAGTGACATACATATATAATTTAATGCTTATATGTTAAAAGATGTAGGAATCGTTGTTATCCTTTATACAAAACAAATATTTGAGCTTTCAATGGTGCTACAAGGCTGCCATTAAAGAGGCAAAACTGACTTCCTGGAAGAGGTTTTTCATCCAAAGCAACAATGATCCCTGGGGTTTATCTTCAAATTATACACAAACAAAATCAAATGTCTCTCTAGTGTTGTATTGGACATTTGCCATGGCAATGGATCCATTGTGGTGATAGGACTTGGCCACCACAATGGATACCCTAACACTTCTGCCCACTGATGATAAATGTGAAGATATGGATGAGCAGAGACAGATTAGAAATGAAGAATCCCTGGCCCCGTTGTTCACTTACCAGGAAACCAATGACATCATTTAGAGATCCAACACCAGGAAGCCTCCTAACCCAGATGGACTAACAGCTGATATTGTCAGAAGACTGGAAAATTTGTCTAAATCTTCTGATGTCTGTCTACACTTGTTTATGCTATGGCAAGGTTCTTGATAAGCTATTTCACAATAGACTATACTGGTTCTTGGAGACACTCCTTACAATTTGGCTTTTGAAGACAAACAAGCACAGTGAACATACTCTTGACTCTTTATGCAAAAATTCATGACTTACTTTAAGATCACAAATACATTAAGTATTAAATTGGATTTAGAGAATGCAGTTAAATGCCATCAATGCAGTTGATGGCAGTTAAACAGGTATAATGGGTATTTGTCCAATGTGTATCATTTGACTTCCACAATAATATGAGGACATTGCTGAGATCAGGAGATGTTATTTTCACATACTCAGTCCAGCGTGTCCAGTGTGGCTTCCCTTAGTGTTCTGTACATAGTCCTCTGTTTTGGGGCATTCTTTTTGACTATTTTCTGAGGAACATTCCTGGTGATCAGGCAAGTGTTGTTACTAATGCAGATGATGCCTTGTTATCCCAGGAAACTCAGAAGAGATCTAGAATTGTAAGCAACTGACATCGTATTGTGGGTTGGTGATTAGAGCAAAGCTAACAAGTTTTAATATAACTAGAGACNGAAGCTGCATAACATTTCGGCGAATGGAGTCCAACAAAAGAGCATGTTGCAAACTTTCGTGGTGAAGCCGGGAAAATTTTGTAACTCGTTGCTGGATTTTCTAAACAAGATATTTAATAATTATATTAATTATTGTATAAATATTAGCAAAAAGAGAATGATATTGATAAATTTTAAGCCAAAGCTGCACTTTTCTAATGATAGTGTTTTCAAAAAATGTTCTAAACCAAAAATTTTGCGAGGAAACATCTACTTATGTCGTAACATTCTCTATTGTTGACCTGTTATCAAAATCGACGCACACGTGCATTATCTGAATAGAGTCGTGCGAAAAATTATCACTGTATTATGAGTTTGCAAATTATCGTCCAATAAAATAGCAATATTTTTAGATCGATAATTGGTTACAACCATCCAATAACAGATGATTAGATAAAAACGTACTTTATCACTTTAACTTCTGTGAGATTAAAGTTTAAATTCCAAGTTTGAAATTTGTTTTTCATTATAATTTTGAATATTTAATTCTATGGGCTAAGTGTACAAAACCATTGACACTGATTATTACCAGTGTTATAATCTCTGTTTCTTCAATATAAACCAGCTAAGGGTTTAAAAAAGACTAAAATAAACCAAATTTTTACGTCATTAAATCAAAAAATAAACCATTTTAAAAGCAATGAAAAATAACTCCCTCGTGTAAATTAAATTAAAATATTACCTACAATACATAAAAAATATTAGTGCAATTACAAAATTAGTTTTATTCAATTCATTATTACTTACAAAAAATAAAAAATAAATCGAGGGGACAAGAGTAATTAGTTGGTCTAGATCGTACTATTGCTTATATTTTGACAAAAAGAAAGAAGTAATAAAATAGCACGAGTCCTTTATCTGTAAGCAAACGAAACTATAATTAAAGCGACTCGTCACTCTGCACTTGCAAAGCACTAAATTCTTACCTTTGTTCCGAAACTTCCTTATCTTAAATAATAATAAACGGTCGATGCGGTAGGATATACATTTATACGTGCCACTTTTAATATACTTAAGAATATTCCTGTATTTAACAAAAAAAAAAAATAACCAAAAAAAAAATTAATAGAACTCAATTGGAATTTTTCCCATAGACTCACAATGGGAATCCGAAATCAAGGTAGTGTTGTTATTAATTGTTTTCTTAAAAGAATTTTTGTGCAAGGTATAATACGTTAAATTAAGATATGTAGGTTCGATTTTTCGAGTAAAATAGGGAAAGAGATGGATGTGTGTTTAAAAAAATTTGACAAGAGCTTTGTCGTATTTTGAATGCCATGTAGCACGCGCTCGTTTGTTAAGGATATTTAGAATGAAAAAGTTTTCTATTGACTTAACATGGGAATGACCTTAGACCCCCCGAAATCTCCCTTCTAGGTCGAACTTTAAAGTTTGGCCACCGTCATGATAGCCCAGGCTTCACAGAACGAANAGGGGGCGGCGAAATTTTCCTCCGCCCCGGGCGGCTGACACCCATGCTACGCCACTATTTCGGGGGTAGTCCTTCCGGATATGTAGGAACCCGTCTCTGATCCTGGCCGAATTCATAATGGGTTTGCGAAAAAGAGGCTCTCTTAGTGTCGACAGGGTGAAAAGAGTTTAGAAAAGTGACGAATTATCATGTGTTAGTATTACTTTTAAAAAACTTTTGTTAAGTTAGTTATTCTTTACTCTTTCTTGTCGTGTGGGTATTAAGAAGGCCTTTTTAACTATATGATGGGTTTGATAAGGCCCACCCTACTTTATAAGGGACGGGCCCGACATATCCGGAACAGTCTATCCTAAAAAAATTCCGGGTTTTTTGACTTCTTAAAGTCGATTCCTGGTTTTCCAGGATGATTTCCTAATGGTCAGGCTTGTAGAGTGATGCCTCGACCATCCGAGCATTTTTACAATTGACTGTGTCAACTTGATATCTCAAAATTTCAAAAGTAACAAATCGAAAAGTAAATCTATATTGTTTAATACATATTAAGGTGAAGAGCATATATTTCAAATTAAAAACTTATTAAAAATATAATTAAAAATTGCAGCTCGGCATCGTGACGACGTCACAATAAATAATTGCTCGTTAGTATTTAAATTCTTTTCTTCCCTCTTATTAAAGCTTAAGTTTTGTTCAAAATCTATGACAAAAACTGATTAGTTCACTTTGCTCTAACTCAGCTGTAAAAGAGTTTAGATATTCTAAAAAAACCCTTAACTTTTAGAAAAATTTACAGTATTTTTAATAATGATTTAAAAATTACTTTTGAAAGATGTTTGATTAGATTTATTTTTATTTTAAAATTTATAAAATGCAATAATTTATTTCCTAAAGATCAATGTGTTTTTGAATGTTTTTAAAATTAATAACAAAATAAATTCTCAATTTCTCAATTTATACTTTCTCAAAAAAGCATTCAGTCATACTTGACGGGGATATCTAGTAATAATAATAATAATAATGAAACGTGTCCTAGGAAATCTTCTCCAAAAAAGGTGGAGAAAAACCTGAAGCGGCATAACATTTCGGCGAATGGAGTCCGACAAAAGAGCATGTTGCAAACTTTCGTGGTGAAGCCGGGAAAATTTTGTAACTCGTTGCTGGATTTTCTAAACAAGATATTTAATAATTATATTAATTATTGTATAAATATTAGCAAAAAGAGAATGATATTAATAAATTTTAAGCCAAAGCTGCACTTTTCTAATGATAGTGTTTTCAAAAAATGTTCTAAACCAAAAATTTTGCGAGGAAACATCTACTTATGTCGTAACATTCTCTATTGTTGACCTGTTATCAAAATCGACGCACACGTGCATTATCTGAATAGAGTCGTGCGAAAAATTATCACTGTATTATGAGTTTGCAAATTATCGTCCAATAAAATAGCAATATTTTTAGATCGATAATTGGTTACAACCATCCAATAACAGATGATTAGATAAAAACGTACTTTATCACTTTAACTTCTGTGAGATTAAAGTTTAAATTCCAAGTTTGAAATTTGTTTTTCATTATAATTTTGAATATTTAATTCTATGGGCTAAGTGTACAAAACCATTGACACTGATTATTACCAGTGTTATCATCTCTGTTTCTTCAATATAAACCAGCTAAGGGTTTAAAAAAGACTAAAATAAACCAAATTTTTACGTCATTAAATCAAAAAATAAACCATTTTAAAAGCAATGAAAAATAACTCCCTCGTGTAAATTAAATTAAAATATTACCTACAATACATAAAAAATATTAGTGCAATTACAAAATTAGTTTTATTCAATTCATTATTACTTACAAAAAATAAAAAATAAATCGAGGGGACAAGAGTAATTAGTTGGTCTAGATCGTACTATTGCTTATATTTTGACAAAAAGAAAGAAGTAATAAAATAGCACGAGTCCTTTATCTGTAAGCAAACGAAACTATAATTAAAGCGACTCGTCACTCTGCACTTGCAAAGCACTAAATTCTTACCTTTGTTCCGAAACTTCCTTATCTTAAATAATAATAAACGGTCGATGCGGTAGGATATACATTTATACGTGCCACTTTTAATATACTTAAGAATATTCCTGTATTTAACAAAAAAAAAAACAATTAAAAAAAAATTAATAGAACTCGATTGGAATTTTTCCCATGGACTCACAATGGGAATCCGAAATCAAGGTAGTGTTGTTATTAATTGTTTTCTTAAAAGAATTTTTGTGCAAGGTATAATACGTTAAATTAAGATATGTAGGTTCGATTTTTCGAGTAAAATAGGGAAAGAGATGGATGTGTGTTTAAAAAAATTTGACAAGAGCTTTGTCGTATTTTGAATGCCATGTAGCACGCGCTCGTTTGTTAAGGATATTTAGAATGAAAAAGTTTTCTATTGACTTAACATGGGAATGACCTTAGACCCCCCGAAATCTCCCTTCTAGGTCGAACTTTAAAGTTTGGCCACCGTCATGATAGCCCAGGCTTCACAGAACGAAGTTCTGTGAGGCTTAGGCTGGGATGAAAAACATTCTTTTAACCGTAGATCCATACAAAAATGAATCTTGATCTTCGCGATTAATTAAAATTAAGGGAACTAAATTATAAAAGAAAAGGAAAAAATGAAATTCTTTTAATATTAAAACTATTCAGTAAAAAGGAGAAAAATTAGTAAATTAAATTATTTATAAGACAAGACGAACAAAAAAGGAAATATTAGTTAAGGTACAAGGTTCGTTCAACACCAAACCAAAGACGATGTCGAATTGTATTAATAAACAATCGTTTTTCTCTGGAATCGATCTGGTCCAATTTCATTTGGTAACAGAGAATGACCAATCAGGATCAAGAAAGGGGATCAATAACCAATAAATTAACGATTTGCGAGGCCACATGCTATTTAAATCTAGGTCACAAGGACACTTCGTTCTTTGCCGTGGTGTCTCGCAAGGCCATGTCCCTCGCTGGGGTGTTTCTATCATCGTCCTTTGCCGATGTATCCTCCGAGAGTTATAGATCTTTGTTGAGAGAAACTTCAGAAATTCCGATCTGCCTTCCCGGACATCGTTTCCTGTTCGAGAACTGGACTTGGAATGCAACATCCGGTCAGCAATGGGAACCACCTTCGTCGCCGGACTTTCCACTTCTTTTTTTGAAGACTACGCGCTGAATCTACAAGGACTTTAACCCTTCGTGACTATAGTACTTTTTTAAGTTAATTGTGTAATAAACGGGTTGTGTTGTTTGTAAACGAGGCATCGACCTCACATGTCGTTGATTGTTACCGCTCGGCAGCCCAGACGGCAATGGAGACGGTAATGGTACATCATCTTATAAGCGTTATTTCGTTTTGAAATTGTTCCCTCCGATCCCCTCACAGTTCGAATCAGCCGAGTCATTATTTTGCAAGACGTGTTTCGGCGATTTGTCAGTTTGAGTCGTTAGCAAGAAAGCTTGCACGCTGCGTTTCAATTAAAATTTTTTGTATTAAAATAAAAAAAACCATACTAAGATGGCAAAATAATGCTACTGTGAAATCCGCGATTTTTACGCCGATGTCGGAAAAATCTTTATAAACAACTCCGGGGAAAAATCCACTCTTGGTGAGAAGTATATCGGAGGTCACCGATTGTTTTCACATTATGGTGGGAAAGTTGACAGTTAGTTGATCGGAATGCACCGTAAGTGTCAACAGAAGTCGATCACGTGACTCATTTCCCACGAATAACGTATAAAAGCTCGAGTCCCCGGAAGCTCCGAGCGATCCCTCGGAAGTTATACTTGGTAGATGTGTCTCCATACTCCGGACCGAAAGGACATACGACCAACCACAGCCATTTGAACTTCCATCGCCATTANCGTTGTAGTTCAGTTTATAGTCATTTTTAAACTCTAATTATGGCTTCTACCAACGTTCAAAAACTTACATGTCCCGATGGTTCTTGCACTCTCACTGTTTTATGTGATCCCAATAGCAAGTGTCACGAAGAAGGATGTAGAGCTGCCATCACTTGCGGAGATTACAGTTCGTCTATAGGAGATAAACATCGTGGATGCTGCGACGTATTGTTATCTTGTGATAAGAATGCTTCCAAATGCGGTACCAAAATATCTTGCGGTAACTGCAAAGTCAATATATCCTGCGGTAAAAATGGAAAAAGATGCGAAAAATGTGACGTAGTCGTCAATTGCAAGAAAAACGACGAGTGTGAAGTAGAAATAAATTGCGGAAAAGAAGGCAACAAAGAGTGCAATGTCAAAGTCTCTTGTAAGAAGAAGGAGGACGGAAGCTGTGATTGTAATATTAACGCTTCGTGTGGAAAGGATTGCGAATGCTGCGATATTAAAATGTCCTGTGAAGGTGGAGAAAAGAGTTGCTGTCATTAATATTAATCTCTGACTGAATAAATTGTATTCAGTTAATCAAAATATCAGAATTAAGTCATTCTTAGTGTGAAAGCCATGTTTCTTCTATTTCTTTTTGGTCCGTAACTGACCTAGTGACTAAAACCAGCGAACACGGATGGTTGGTTTGCGTTGGTGCCCAATGAACGGGTTGGTTCGTGAAGATTTCCGGGTTTTCGTCACGTGCTTAACACCTAGAGGTTAATTGTTTATATAAAGTTCTCTCAGGAGACCTCGCCTTCGTTGCGTTGCTTTGTATCAGCAAACCAAGCTAATTTCTTTTCATAAGTTGATTTCTTTCGTTTAAAATGATTTCGCAACAAACAAAGAAACTAAAAACTAACATACCTTTATTAAATAAATTTAAAAATCATGTACCTTTTTATATTTTAGGTCTATATGTCTAACATCATTTTTATGTAAATTATGCAATTTTTTTATTTCCGTAAAAAGTTAATTCTTTAAATATTTATTGTAAGAACAGTTCCTTTTTAGTTGATATTAAACACTTTTATCAAACACAAATAAGTAGTAAAAGAAAATGGTAAAATAAGGACTAAATTTTTAAATAGATTTATTCTTTCTCTAACTGCACATGTTTATTTGTAATTAGTGAAGAAGGTGAAAAATTATAATTAGCATTGGGTTAGTTCATTTTAGTGTACTTTAATGGAGATTGATAAAACCATACGTCTTTTTTTTCTTCTTCTTCTTAATTCGTAAACAAGAATTTTTAATAAATATATAACAGAAGATAATAATGTTGATATAATTAATCACAATAAGTAAATTAACCACACGCACTCGACACCTTTTCAAGATAAAGCGAATTCCAAGAGGGCATACGTGCATTCATAAACAATTCTATCAGCCGTCAATAACGCAAAAATGAACTAGCCCAAGGGCCAATTCTAGTTGCGCCAACCATACTTGTTTTTTCACTATTATCTCCATGTCAGATGGTGCGAAAAGATACTACTAAATTTTCTATACATTTGTGCTCATTGAATATTAAATATACCAATAATTTAGCTTAGTTTTCCTTATTGTAGTTATACTCTTTAAGATTGTGATATTGTGGTAAAAATAATGTTTGAGAACGCTTAACGAAAAAGTGCATGAGAAATGCTCACGCAGAACATGCAGATGATACCAGAAGCTTTTTCTTTGGAGAGATGTTCGAATATATTTTCTTCTTAAACTAATTATTTAATTAAACAATATACATTTAATCATTACTGGATCTGGAATTTTTCTTAAAAACAACACACCCATAATATTAATAAATATTTACCATCACAAGTTCTTTACACGTGTTTTTCGCAATTGAAAACTATCCATCAATACAGAACAACTCTAAAGTGAAGCTAGCATTACAGGAGCTCTACAATTAAAGACAGCTAATGGAATTGCAATTAGAAAAATTCTTGCCTACTTACTCTTCACATTTAAGTTAATCATTTCTTCACGAAATATGTTGGGCTCATAGTAAATTCATCAAAATTAAATATATTTTAATTTCTATTCGGAAACTGATCAACATGCAAAAATTTTAAATCTCTAAATATTACACAATTAATGTAAATTATAAATTGTACAAAAAAAAAATGTTATCCAGAAATTATTTTATTGGTAGAAGTTTAAAATGTGCACGAATTAAACTTCGGATACATTCGTTTTAAGCTATTGTTATAATAATAAATCAAAATCCATCGGTATGGTTTTTATCGAATTATATTTTTATATTTTATTCGGATAATTCGAAAACAAAATGAAATAAATAATTTAAAATTAGGCATTTTGAAATAATTTTAATAAATTTTTAGAGATTTTTATTGTAATTAAAAAAATTCATTTTCAAATTTTGCTTTAGACAATTAAACTCAGACAAGTGCACATAAAAGTGATTTTGTAATTTAGTTTATACTTTGAAGTTTGTAATCGTTATACCTCATATATAATAAACAATAGAGTTTTTTAAACTTTATTATACAATCTTTCTTAAATCAAAGTATATTTCAAATAATTAATACCACCAAATTAAGTTTAACATATTAGATTTTTACTGCTATGGTGAAAAACGTTTAAAATGCACAACAACCCTGTCACGTCCTTTGAGGTATACTAGTGATGCGACAAAAAAGGCATTTGACATTGACCGATATCGGCACCCTCGGGATTTGGCAGCCCGCGTGCATTCACCGTGCAGTCACTCGTAGGGAGCTATTTGAAAAAACGGATTGTTTTAAGATTTAAAAAGTAAAGAAGATCTTATGTTATTTTTATGTACGCTTCTTTACAAAGCTATATTTAATTATAATTTTCTTTAAAAGTATATTCATACAATTGAAGAATATTTTGTACCAGGTATGTACCGGTACATCCACCACACATTTTATTTCACCAAATACATTTAGAGAAGTCTACGGTTTTTACCGGCTTATCGAACAAACGATACGAATGGACCCTTGACCATCACTGACGCGCAATTAACTGATTGCCCCTGGAAGTCGGCTTCTTACAGAAACACAGCTTCCCTACTATCAAATGTCACGGCACGCCACTGATTTATATGATCATCACCCAAGTAATTTTTAATAAATGGTGTTCGGTATCATTCATATTAGTTCAGAAAAAAGTGTATGTTTGGGCAGGGGGAGCGTGTGTGTAACGTTTTTTTGTTATTTGATTGGTTGTTCTTTTTGGAACGAGCGGGGCAAAAGAGGAAAGATGGCGTCTACGTATCGCATGGTATGAAGTCGTTTTTTTTTATCTGTTTAACTTGTATTGGTGCAGTTTATATTAAAAGTAGCTAGGAGAATTTATGCTTCGTTGTATCATTTGTCCGGAAACATTGCGAAGGCTCATTGACAAATGGTTTTAGGAAAACAAAAATTTTAAGTGTCAATTTATTCATTTATACGAATTAATTCAGATCATTAATAAAAATTTTATCATGGAATGTAAAACTGATAACTACGAGCTTAGAAATACATAAAAGTGACAATCAGCGTTGCTATTTCTTCAAGTTTGATTCCGGGCTCAAGCTTAATGATGATTTCTCCATGTTTGGAATCTTTTTACATTTCAGTTATTCAAATTTTTTTTATTAATTTTTAAGCAATTTAGTTAGGAAACTTATTCAGAGTCGATCGGATCCTCGAGACGGCAAGCGCTCTGAGAATTCGGGATTAATTAAATCCGAAGAAGCGACACCTGGAATTTTTAAATAAAATGGAATGTAGTGAGTGTGGTTTATAAAATATACCGGTACAATACTTGTGTTTTCTATTCATAATTAGATATTATTAGTTAAAAGTGAAAATAAAGTAGAATTATGAACAGACACGTTGATTAAAAATGAATTATTCTATAAAAAATTAATATTATAAGATTATGAGATGGAATTAGGAACAAAATAAAACATAGGGGGACTTAAAATTTCTGATCTGTGACAGTTAATAACGTATATAGAATTATTTAGATTTAATGTTCGTTTCTGAACCACTCATTATAACATAGTTAACGGTATTTTCCACTCATCTTTCTGTTTCCATTCCTTAAAATCACTAAATGAATTAAATGTCTGATTATACCGTAATTACATGTAGCAATATCGTGAAGCTCTCTGAAGTGTATCAGTACTTCTTCATTTATTAAATTCACCTGAATACAAACTACATTTAAATAACTTTATAACTTCATCATTCCTATTACAGTCCTTCCTTTTATGCTTCTTTTTCGTGTGTCAGCTTAAACTTTGCTTATGCTCGTATTTAAATTGCATATACTGCATTCCATTTTCAACGAAACACTGAAACAAAAACCCAGTTGGCTCCATTGGCGCTGTTCGCCGTAACGGCAGGATTTAGAACTAGTGTTTACCAGAGAGCTAGGCTCTTGTGCATCCCAGGGATTCACTTCCTACGCGCCGTCTCTCAAATCTCTTCCATCCCGAATCCGATCGACCGCTCGCGTGACCTCATAACAACAACAACAACACTGACATTAAACAAAAACAGCCCTAGTTGCTGTGCTGTCTTCTATCCTAACGTCGAGTGGTGCGGAAACCAAGGGTGAGCTTCGCTCATTATGACAATTATAGAACTGAGTGATGAAAGGAGATTAACAGATGATGAACACAGATGTATTTTAAAACACTTCATCAAGTCATCTTTAAAAAAGTTGATTTTTCTGTCGACCCATTTAATATTTTGTACTATATATATATATAATATAACCTATTATATAATTTTTAAAAGACATTTAAAGCGTGCAATGCCATAATGTTGTAAATGTCATTTTTCTAAATACGTTCTTTGAAGAATTGAATTCTAAATGCAATGTTTTCTGCCACAAAAGAATATTGTGGCGATATTGGCAGTGGAAGTGTAAGTATTTTGAAGATGAATTTATGTGAAAATATAACATCTATATAAGTGCCAGAGTGCAAGTCACGTGACTTTTGGCGCATAAAACGGTTTATATTTACATCATTTTGATATTCCAGAAAATTTGTAACCCAGTGAGTTTTTAGCATTTTATTGTGAAATTGAAATGAATTCATTCATTAGAATAAATGTTTTTTACCTCTCCTAAAATGTTTTTGTTCCGGCATTTACAACATTATGGCATTGCACGCTTCATTTATTTAAGAGCAAGAAAAATGTGTAAAATTTTAAATATTGCAAAGTTTTAGCCGTTTCCGCAAACTTTCGTCGACCCCTAAAGGATCAATACCGACCCCGTCGGGAAATCCGAAGTTAATATAATAGAATGTATTTAACAAAATATTTCAATTTTAAAATTAATCAATCACAGGAGAGACAATTGTAAATTACTTATCAACAGTTTATAATAAATTTAAATTTGATTTTGAACTCGACTTTTTCAACGAAACACAAAAAACACTTTGGGCTTTCAACATCAAACGGCATAAGAAAACTGCCCATCAGCGGCCGAATGGATAAAATGAAACCAGCAGCTCTTCGCCTGCCGTTCGTCATTTGCAGACGAACGACAACCCAGAACTCACCACGTGGAGGTGGCTGCTTCAGAGTTCCACCAAGAGTTGGAAAGAATGATACTCCACAAGTGACCAACATCACTTGTCGAGTCGAGTTCTTCCTAACTCGCACAATGAAAATATTTATAATTACTCTGAATACTCCAAATTCAGCTATTCGAAACTCGCCGTATTATTACTATCTAAACTAAGGGATGCAACATTACAACTAGTAGTAAAGAAAGACAGAAATCTATAAATACACCTGGATGTAATAAAATGCACGTTACGGCCACAAAATTTAGTTCAATCTCATACCGAACCCCATTAACCAAAAACAGAAAAAAAA